AAAAAAAAAAAAAAAAAGAGAATGATACTTTTATTTTTTTCCACAGATTTTTTTTTTAAAGATACTTTGCTACATAGTTTTATGCATTTGTTTTCCTAGGAGTCTATACATTTTTGTCTTCATGAAGTCCGACATTTTACAATTGCAAAGTGATATGTTTGGTAGTGTATTCTCTAACATTTTAAAAAGTTTAGAGGTTTTTTTTTCTCTCTTTTTTTTTTGGAATGTACAGTATATGAGGTAAAATTAAGATTACATTAAAAACTGTCTTCAATGCAGTAATACGCACTGAGGCTCAAATGGCAAATACACTATTAAATGACTATCAAAAATAGGAGTTCATTTGAGTTTTACTATGAAAAACATAAGTCACTGCAGATTTAACTGTAGTAACAAATCTGAACCGTTTTAGACATTCAACCGTAAGAAATCTCTGGGCTATTACACACAACCTCATTTGTACTGCCAAACATGGCACTTTTAAGAAGGTTTTAGAAAACACCTTTTATCAGGCTATTCTGGGGAAGGTACATCAGCCTATACATAAAAATGACATATTTGAAATAAAGTGTAAACATACAGTACATTTTAAAGACAGATCATTCTCGCCGCTTGGAGGCCACGTTCTTCTCTGTTTCTTTTTTTAAAACAAAACTCAGCAACATTATTCTACAGCACAGATCATTGGACGTATAAACAGTTACAATACATGCCCGTTCTAATATAAGAAATTCTTCAGAGATCTTCAAAGCACAAGACAGAGGTTCCTTTTTTATTATTATTAAGACTGACAGAAGTGTTTAATACCATTAAAAATGCTAAACTCAACACAACTAGGAGTCATTAATGATCCACTATCTCGTAACTCAAATAAATTAAAAGAGCTAATTACAAAGTGTATAACAAATAACGTGAGTGTGATGAGACAGGAATTTTTCTTTTTTAAAGATAGTTTCACTAGAAGCTTTGTGTCACTGGCAGTCATTGACATCTAGCAAGATGTTCAATGGGATGCTTGATAAAATTCAGTCTGGTCATCCAAGAACTCACAAATGCAAGCTCACAAAACATTGATGAGTTATGCGATTGCAAAGTGCTCTAATGCAACATTAACTACATGCAATCAACAATTTGGTACAGTATCCAAAGAGACATTACATTAAACATTAGGATCTCAAGAAAAAAAAAGCAGCTTTAAGTTCTCTGGTGCAAATTTACTACACTTTGTCTTCCGATTTGGTGCCCCAAAGGAGGAAGAAAAAAAGAAAAAAGAAAAAAAAAGGGGAAAAAAAGGCAGTGCTTGATTCTGGTGGATATGGCAAATGAATGCTGGGGGTAACAGCAAAAAGCTGATGGTGAATTTTATCTCAGGAAAATCTGCAACTAGCCAAACTCAGAGGGCACAGACATCTGTAGAAACTGCATCCAATCAAAGGTCAACTTCAGAAATGATTTTTTTTTTTAATTTAAATAATAAATCTCAAAAGTTCTCTCACACTCTCCCTCCTATATTCATAAGAAGAGGCATTTTTATGGGTAAACATCAAATCCTGGGGGCAAGATACACCACTTGTGCCATCCCCTTGCAGTCTCTCAAAAACATCTACTTGCAGTGAAGAACTCCACATTTATCAGGTAAGAAGCTTCTTTCGTGCATGCTCTTCCATCCAGTTTTTTATTTGCTGCCTGAGAAAAGCCCCTTCTATTTCTCATCACAATCCTGCTTCCCAAATAATTAAGACAAATGAGGAGGTAGAAATACAGCGCTAAATTGCTTTCACAGCATCAGATTAATATTGTATACAGCACAAGTTAGTGTACGTTTTAAATGCGTTCTACACATTCTTCCCTGTTATGGAAGTAACTCTGGAAAGTGGGGGCCAGGAAGCCGTTTTGCCGCGTGCGTTTACCGGTCAAACCCTTTTAATCAAACACTGCTTGCCCCGTGTGAAGGCTTGTGTACTGCAAGAAGGCGTATTAAAGGAAAGGTCGTATTTCTGTGGCTTGCATTTTAATAACATGTGTCAGCCTCTACCTACCAGTAAGCGTTTTAAAGTGGCTGAAAAGGTTTGCGACAGTCCCAATGCCGGTGCTAAATGCCTGTTGTATTTTTTTTGTAAAAGCAAGAGAACAGAATTATTTTTCGATTATGAGAAAGTAAAACATAATGGGCAGCGTTCTAAAATAAACCAGTTTTCTTCACTTTATGACAAAGTACTGAATGACAACAGCGATCAGGATGGAGAAGATGGCGAAGAGCGCGAGGATGACGGCAGCGCACACCTGGTCGCTCTGCGACCACTGCGTCCGTGGGGGCTGCGCGGGGTCCTTGGCGGCGCTCGCCGGCGGCTCCGGCCGCTGCGACACCAAGAGCGCGGCGGCGCTGTAGGGGCCCACGAGCTCCTGGGCAGCCGCTGCCTCCTGGCACTGGCGGATGGCACAAGCGCGGAAACGGTACTCACAGTTCGGCTGCAGGCCCGTGTAGCGGAAGGAGCACTCGGGACCCTTGTAGGCCTGCCCAGGAAGGAAAACGGACACGCTCAGTAAAAAGGCTGTATGTACAAACGTGCCCATCCCTATGGCTGTGTTTATGGGGAAAACGTCTGGTTAACCAGAAAAAAAACAAATTGTTGTAGCGTGCACACACACGCACACTCCTTTGGAGGAGGCACAGAAGAGATGTGGAGCTACCGGTGAGAGCCCAACCCAGGGTTACGGAGATGACTCTGGGATTGGAGCATCTCTGATACGAGGAAAAGGTGAGAGCTGGACCTGCTTAGCCTAGAGAAGAGATGGCTGAGAGGGGATCCTGCCAGTGTGTACAAGTATCTTAAGGAAACCTGTCAAGAGGATAAGGCCAGATCATTTTCAGCAGTGGCCAGCGACAGGACAAGAGGCAATGACCATAAACTGAAGCACAGGAAGCTCCGCCTGAGTTTGAGGAGGAGCTTCTTGGCTGTGAGGGTGACAGACCGGCTGCCCAGGGAGGATGTGGAATTTCCTTTTATGGAGATACTCAAAATCTGCCTGGGCACAAAGGGGTGCCGCGTGCTCGAGGTGACCCTGTTTGTGCAGGGCATTGGACTAGATGGTCTCCAGAAGCCCGTTCCACCCTCAGCCCTTCTGTGACGGGAAATCACGTGCTTCATCCGTATGTGTTACATTCCGGGTGTCTCTGCTTGCCTGCCCCGCTCATGTGGCAGTGCTTGTTGCTCATCCCGGTGTGCTCTGCGTGGCAGGAACGCTGACTGCACCCCTAGCGCTGCACCTAGCGCTGCGCTCCCAATGCTAGAAGCCCCAGTAAAGAGCACTAAGTGGCAAGACACCAACCTTGGGATTACCGCTCATCTTGGATCAAAAAATTAACAGATGGACAAAATAGTGCAACACAAGAAATAATGATTCATGAAAATATTAAGGTCTATAATCTACCATAACAGAGACATCACTTACTGACCAATAATAAAATTATAGTGCCTCAGAATTAATTGTGCTTCCTTTCTGAAGGAAACTTGCTTGCTTAACAGTGTGAAGCAGAATTTACGAGCCTGATTTCATGTCAGTTATCAAGGAGTTTATAGAGAAGCTAAACTGGCACTGCACATCCTCTTTTAAATGTCGACTAATTTGTAATTTGTTTTTTCAAACTGCACCTTTAGATAACCAAACTTGAAGTTAAAATACTCTTCCAGCTGGGGGTACATAGCACACCCTACTACCGAGATGGTCTTCTGGTCAGAAACTAATGACTGAGCTATATTAGAAACAGATTTTGACCTGAATTTCTGCATTGCTAAGAAGAGGTCTTCTCTTATCAGTAGGTTGTGGCATTTGCCTCACCACTGAAGGTGTTAAGCAATAAACACAGAATTCAGCAAACATCAGCATAACCCACAGTAACCTCAACATACTCTCCAGGAAAATGGTTTTAGAAGACACTACCTTGGAGTATTTAGAAAGAAAACATGGGCCTGGGCAATTGAGGACACACCGGAACACAATCATCTTTAACCTGAATGAGCTATCAGAGGGACTCAAAAGAACTTCCAGTGACTTAAGCACTTCATACCTGCTTGAATTCTGAGTCCTTCCCCACCATGACCTGAAGGCAGTAGATGACTGGATCACCCTTCATGGGCTGCAAAGCCTCCCAGGTGACTTCACAAGCGTGATCATTTATTCTCTCTATCCTTGGTGCTGAAGGAGAAAAAAACAAAGTAAAACACAAAAGCAACACCAGCTCTATTCTCTATTACTTAATGCTATTTTCTAATGACCGGTAAGAAACCCTGTATTCTAAGTGCTGTTTTTGCCTCAAACACAGAAACAAAAGATCCAGGGTCATTAGTGTTCCTGCTAACCACCTTTTCCAAGACGACCGTTAATAACACATACCACTCTCCTGCTTTCATATAGCCTAGATTTTCTCCAAGCTAAACTAAAGAAAGCAAGAAGAGTGGGATGATTGCAAATGGGTAATACGCAAGGGAAAAAACAACCACCACAACAAAAAGCTGTTCTGCTTGAAGTTATTCTAAGTGTGCTCGCAAAGTCTCATCTCAAATTAACGAGGTCACGTTCTCCTGGAATGCAATGTTTCTCTGTGCAAACCTTCCTATGCGAAGGAACGTGTAAAGCCCAGATCAGCCATTTTGGGGACGAACGTTTTAGGCTTCAGGCTGCTGCATTAAAGCAGTGTTTCCCTATGAGCCCTACACCTGCACCCTGGAAAACGCTTCGCGCCCTGAATGCCTCACAGGAATAAAACGCCACTGCCAGCAGCCTCCCCTCGCCCTCCCACAAGGAGAAACTTTCACCTTTCAAGGCAGCTGGAACAGATTTGGGAGTCGTGAAAACGTATTCTTGAGAAAGGGGCCCTTCGCCGGCTTCGTTACATGCCTGAATACAAAATTTGTATGATGTGGACTCACTGAGCCTTTGTACTTTGTACGTATGACACGGTCCTCTGTATAAGGATACGAACCTAAAAATGGAAAAAAGAGCTTGTATTGGAGGCAGAAAAGGGCTCTGAAGTAGCCAGAAAACTTTCTCATTTGAAATTCCCATAATTTCCCCAAACCTAATGCGGAAACCGGAAGTAAGTATTTTGAAGTCAAACCATGTACGACATCACTATAAGACAACTCATTTTCCAGGGCTCGGTTTTGATATCTCAGGGCTTTGGAATAAAACCTCTTTTAAAGCAACCCAGAGGACTACCGACTGTCTCGTGGCCGAGGTGACCCCTAAGCTCTTTCCAGAACCCTTGTGCACACGAGCCAAGGGGAAGGGAAAGCAGCTCCCTCAGTAAGGGGCAGCATATACGGCTTTCTCTTGCCCTCTCTACCCCAGCATCTTTAGCTTTTCAAAACTAGGTAGGACTAGCATCTGCTAGCACCTCTGCAGCCCTCCCTTCCTACATCCGAGTCACTCGTGGATCCAACTGCTCTTGCAGGTTTTTGTCAGACATGGGCATCTTGGCTGAAGCTCAGGTCTGTGTCACAGCTGCAGGGGACACCACGTCCCGCCCGAGAGCTCTCGTAGAGCAGCTGCTCTTTGGCAGCCCAAGGCCACAGGTTTATCTCTTCCTACAGGTTTACCACCACCTCCTTTCACTCATGTTTCAACAAACAGTGCCTGAAAATGATCCTAGTCTTTGGTAATGAGTCTCATTTCTTTTTCTCCTTGTAGCAGCACAATTTCACTTGGCGGATCTGCCCTGTGCCACAGGAAAGCTAAAGCTACTCAGGGTTCAGATATGATAGGCATGGTAATAAACATGTCTGTTTTGCTGTTCAGGCAGAGCTACTTGCTCTTGTCCTGATTTAACACAAGAGGGGATCTTTCTGAAACAGTAACTTCTATAAAGTTTATTTTCCACTCGAAATAATTCTGTGTAAAGACAGCAGGCAGGGATGAATGCCTTCCCCCATGGCATACGTAACGTTCACAGGGGCTGAGCACACTCAGTATTGGCAAAATAGCTAACAAAAGAAGAGAGCGTGTGCTAGGAGACCTGACAAAACTCATCATCTCAAACTGCAAATAAGAAATACATGAAGTTCGTAACCCTGTATTTTTCCAACACGAATCCCTCCTGCCCTTCTACTCGGCCAGCAGAGAGGATTCCTACGTTCGTTGCAGCTTAAAGCACAGGGAATTTTGCCCTTGGGCACCGTCTTGGCAGCGGCGGCGGGCGGCGACGC